TAGCCATATTAGGTAATTGTCATTTACCAAATGTAGGCATATCGCTATATAAGGTCAATTACATCACTGTATCCCACCCCTTTATTTATTTGCCACCAGCAGCTGATTGGGTGGCACTGAAGGAGCTTCCTTTCATGCTGGGTGGAGCAGTGTCAGCACCAATTCAGAGATGAACGGAGGATCTACAGCCGAGTGATACACAAATAAGATACATTGTTGTTCAGAGTTATGGTACTTGAATGTATTTTCAGGATTTAAATCCGGAGTGTAGTGTCACTTTAAATTATGTAGAGATCAAAACATAACATTTTTTTTACCTCCACCGGTGTGGTGACATTTCCACCTTGACAATATCTTTTGAGATTTTGTGAGTTTAGTGTCACTTTAATGTGCAACAGTATAAATGGGCTCTAAAGTGCAACTTCATGGTTTCACAACCTGTCTCCCCAAAACCGTTGAACTCCCCCACATCGGTATGTGACTGTTCTGGCCAATCAGATGTGTTCTTCGGTCTAATGCATCCGAATGGGTCTGAACACGAATTTTCGTTACGGCAACATGGAAGCCATATACTGTGGCTTCCATTTGGGGGTCATTGTAGACCACAAACTGAATGGTAGCTTGCAGTGCCAGGCTGCGGTAAACAAAGCTAGCAGGGTCTTGTCCTGTATTAAGAAGGGGATGTATTGCAGGGACAAGTCTATAATTGTGCCTCTATATAGATCGTTGGTTCGGCCACATCTGGAGTACGCGGTCCAGTTTTGGTCGCCGGTACTGAGAAGGGATGTCCTTGAACTGGAGAGAGTCCAGCGGAGGGCAACCAAACTAATTAGGGGAGTGGAGGACAAGAGCTATGAGATGAGGCTACTGAACTTAAACATGTTCACGTTGGTAGTAAGGAGATTAAAGGGGGATATGATTTTCATGTACAAGATGTTCAATGGTGACAGCAACATTGGCAACAAACTCTTTAAGATTAACTCCATTACAAAGACTAGAGGCCACCACCTAAAGTTGGTGGAGAAAAAATTCCAGCACAAGGGGCGAAGAGGGTTCTTCACAGTAAGAGCGGTTAGGGTCTGGAACTCGCTGCCATCGGCAGTGATTTCAGCCAAGCGTGTGGAATTGTTCAAGAAACTTTTGGATGATTTCTTGAGGGACCATAATATCCAGGGGTACCAGTATCTCTAAGAATGAGATGATGCGATGACCTATATGGGTTGGACTTGATGGACGTATGTCTTTATTCAACCCCAAATACTATGTAACTATATAATAATAAAGCCAAGGCTCCCAGACCCGAATGGCATTTGGGATCCGAATTTCCGAATTGCATTCAGGAGCTCCAGAATGCCATCCGGGTCGGGGAGCCTCAACTTTAGTAATATATGTACAGCGTATGGCTCACAGACCCGAATGGCATTTGGGATCCGAATTCCCGAAAGGGTGAACGAAATTCAGAGATTATTCTCAGGACATGTCCAATATTTTCCAACTTTTCATCCAAAGAAGTTGTATTACTGAGAAGATCATTGGAGATATTTGAAAATAATCAGGACGGCATTCAGTAACCTAATAGGAAAACTGAGACTATTTGTCCTTCCTGGCTGGTCCACAACATTCTCATCGATAGGTAAAACCAGGCCCACAGGTTCCACAGAGGGCGGGGGTCTTCTCCAGTTTCTGTTAGGGCAGCACTTGTCTAACATGACCACCCTAGCACCCAGGAAAAAGGGGCAATTGTCTCTCACGCCTCTCTAGATGTTTACATCTGGAACTTCCAAAAACAAACCTAAAAAATGGTTCCTGCCATAGGAGACTCTGACTACTTACCACTCTGGCAGGTAGCAACTATGAACTCCATAACGCCAAGTCCTAAAACCTGCTGCAGATCCTTCACATATGACACATTTCTTGGTGTGTCAGATACCAGTTCCCCCGCTACTTATAATGGTTCCTTCCGACGGCCTCCACCTCATTGCTGTGTCCGGAAGTGATGTAGGGCTTTCAGATAGACATGTAAGCTGTGGACAAATTTGGTTCGGTTCACTTCAGATATTTCCTTGTTTCGAAATTTGGGATTCGGATTCGAAATTCAGTTCGGTTCGGGTTTCGGATTCGGATGAAATCTAAATTTTTGTTAGTTTCGGACGAGTTCACGAATATTCGTTGCGAATAGCACAGAAAACCATCCTCCCGTTACCCTAAGGAGAACTATGGGGAAAAACACTGACCCCATAGTTCTCCTTTAATACGAAAGCTGAATCTCCCAGACCCGAATGGCATTCGGGAGCACCCAAATTCAATTCCGAAATTCGGATCTCAAATGCCATTGTGGTCTGGAAGCCTCAGCTTTGTGGTGTCAGCGTGGTGCACTGGCACTTTAGTATTAATTATTGCACTCTATTCACGATTGCACGATTGGCTTTTTTTTTAAAAGCGTTTTGACCCACAGATGCAGTGGGTGCCGGTTCCTTCGGGGGCCTTTTCCTGATGTAGGGAGGAGATTCTGTGCCCTCTATGGGGTTCTCTGTGTCCTCCCAAACCAGGGGGGGTTTCTCTTCGGGAGATCCCCCTACCCAGTACTGTGTGGGACCTGTCTCGGCAGGTCCCCGAAGGATCGGGGTCCACCGGCCTGCGGGCTGGTGGACAAACAGTCTCAACCCCTGTCAGGAGCCTTGCGCACCGGGGGGTCGGGAATCGAGGTCCCTTCTTTGTGAAGGACCAAGCACCCTTGTGCACGTTTTTGGGTGTTGTGATTTCACGGTTCACTTTTTTTGTTCACAGGGGGAAGTTTGTTTTATGATGCACGTCCACGGGCTCTTAAAAAAATAAATTAATATCTGTAGATGGTTTTCTGTGGTATTCGCAACAAATATTCATAAACTCATCCGAAACTAACGAAAATTCGAATTTCGGCCACATCCGAAACCCCGAACCTGATTGGATTTCGAATCCGAATCCCGAAATAACGAAATGTCCGAACTGATTTTTTCCACAGCTGACATGTCTAGCATAGATATTTTGAATCTTGGTTTGCAATCGCCTATTAAATTTGCCGCGGTCGGGTCGGGTGCAAGTATTGTATACTGGCTGGGGGAGGTTTTAAATTAAGTTGTGGTTTGGCTTGAGTCGTGGATACGGTACATTATAGCAGGGGCGTCCCGAGGCTGGGTGACAGCCGGAGCGGTAACCGAGTGTCACCCCGCCGAGACGTCACTGCGCGTGCGCGGCAGTATTCTGATACCTGCCGGCGGCCATCTTGGTGATGGACGCCGGCAGAGAGAGGAGGGGACAGTCACCCGGCGGGATAAGGTATGCCGCTGAGTCCTCTCCTCTCTCCTCATACTGTCGGGCGTTCGGTCCATGACCGAGCGCCCGACTTTTCAGAGGGGGGTGACACCAAAATGACTGTGAGTCATTATGGTGTCACCCCTCCAATGGTGTCGCCCGGGTGCGGGCCGCACCCCTTTGTGACGCCACTGCATTATAGGGATACGTTTGTTCTGTACAAAATAAAGGTTGTGGCCGATTTAATTCCACTTTTCGGTTTTAGTGTATTTATTTGTGTGAAAGGTATTATTTATGAATGTGATTATTTGTTATATACGAGTTACAGAGTTACATAGTTAGTCAGGTTGAAAGACACATGTCCATCGAGTTCAGCCTGTAGAGATTTTATGCGTGCGATCTACAGTCCCATTAGTTACAAAAGATACATTTACAGGTGACCGCGGAATATTTAGTAGCCAGGAAATGTCACGGAACACCTGAATCCGATGATTTGGAGGGGGAGGGGCCCAATACTTTTGGTAATATAGTGTATATACCGGACTCTGAACATGCCAGTTGTCTGAGTGTCACGGGGGATCCGGTGTATTGATGAATATTTGATGAGACATTGACCCAAGTCAGGAAATGTGACTTCATTCTGTCTTGTGGATCTGCAGCCAGGCAACCAGCATTTCAGATCGCGATCCCCCAATTGTAATTGGCACAATTCTCACAGCAAGTTTATTATTAAAGTGATTGGAAGCCGAACATAAAAATAATACATTGTATCTTTCCTGTCTGCAGATGAGGCGTCTGCGTTCATTTTATTATTTCTGGCTTTGTTACCCCCTTTGTTGTCACCGGGTGATCCGGCCAGTAACCTTCCTAGAGTGACAACGCTTGGGGGAGAAGTGTTTTAGGACTACAAAACGCCTCCCCTTCGCCTCATCTCCATAACATAGCAAGGAGGCGATCAAAAAAAAAATGGAAGCCGGGCACAGCCAGGCAACTGGCATTTTCAGGCGTGAATCAGCCTAACCCACTGGCTTTTGGGACTCCAGATAGAAAAAAATCTCAGTGCCCCTTGTTCTTGGCTCTGTCCTGCCTCTGTCAGCTTTATGGCAGCGAAAGGGTCTGAGAAACCACGAGACCCAAGAGAGCTGACTGACACTGTGGTGGCTTCCTCTTTTATCAGAGTATTACGGATCATACAACTTCTGATTTCCCCCTTCTGACCTCCGTCCTCCCCTCCAGTCTTCTTTCTGACCTCCGTCCTCCCCTCCAGTCTTCTATCTGACCTCCGTCCTCCCCTTCAGTCTTCTATCTGACCTCCGTCCTCCCCTTCAGTCTTCTATATGACCTCCTTCCTCCCCTTCAGTCTTCTATATGACCTCCGTCCTCCCCTTCAGTCTTCTATCTGACCTCCGTCCTCCCCTTCAGTCTTCTATCTGACCTCCGTCCTTCCCTTCAGTCTTCTATCTGACCTCCGTCCTCCCCTTCAGTCTTCTATATGACCTCCGCCCTCCCCTTCAGTCTTGCACAGTTGCACAGCTTTTCACAATGCGCATTAGAAGCCGCAGCAAGTCAGATAGAGCTCCGCCTGATTTCCTGGCTGGAGGATTTCCAGCGTCTTCTAGCGCTTTTCTCCTCAGCCTGACTGTTCCTGGCCCCGCCCCTTTTCTAGTTCTTTCAATCACGGAAGCTCAGCGTCACACATGTCGTCTACTATGGCCTATGACAGCTCAGGGATCGGAAGTGATGGAATCTGCATCTCTCCCGATCCCATCGAATGGGAAGCGGAGGTTAGTCCATCTCCTCCGCCGGCTTTCCCTGTAGTGAAAATTGATCGTCGATTTGACCCCATTAATTATTAGAACATCAAGTGTGAGGCTAATAACATTAGCCGAGCTTGTGGGAGGAGTCAGAGCCTCCAGGTCCCTTTAACACGGCGGGGAAAGGAGGACGCATCTGCTGCTGACTTCCGGCGTACCCTCCCACCCGTCCCCATTATTATTACTAGTATTGTTTTTCCAAAGCTTACTTGAGTACGCCCCCTTATTTGGCGTACTGAACATTAAAATCATGGCGCACCTCAGGTTGTGTGGGGGTAGGGAGGTCAATGTACAAAGGGGGCCACATGCGGCGCCCGCGAGATTCCGAACACAAATGAGCAAATTTTATTCTAACCCATTCATTGTGACTATTACTTTGTTTTTTAACTTTGTTGTTGTTGTTGTTGTTGTTGCTATCTTTTACAATTGGCAGACTCGTATACAAGGGGGGCGCGGCCCGCACCCGGGTGACACCATTGGAGGGGTGAAACCAAAATGACTCACATTTTGGTGTCACCCACCCTATGCAAAGTCGCAGTTCGGTCCATGACAGTATCAGGAGAGAGAGAAGGGGACCCGGCGGCACACCTTATCCCGCCGGGTGACTGTCCCCTCCTCTCTCTGCCGGCGTCCACCACCAAGATGGCCGCCGGCAGGTATCTGAATACCGCTGCGCGTGCGCGATGACGTCAAGGCGCACACGCGTGGTGATGTCACGCGCAGTGACGCCTCGGCGGGGTGACACCCGGTTACCGCTCTCCTGGTGTCACCCAGCCTCGGGACGCCCCTGTCATATACATGTTATAAGTGTGAACACATATTCGGATTGTCATTTCTTCGGGCCAGACACTGAACCGTGACCAGCCAAGGCGCACGCAGACATGTGCAGGCTTGGCTAGTACTCAGATCACTTCCTGCTCCTTCCCAATCACAGGTGTGCAGCTATTGTTCTGAGTCATGTGCTCCTCTGAGGTATCGTTTGGGGTTCTCGGAGGGTTGAAGCGTATTTCCACTTTTGCAGTCAAATGTGAGAAAACCCCTCTATGTGTGTTCGTTGTTTCATCCTATTCACACAGGGAGCCGAAAAAAATCACGTTTAAAAAAATATATTTATTAGGTTTTAGATATTTAGTTGTAGCAGACGGAATGGGTGATTCCAGGTTTTTCTCAGCACCTTCACAGTGATCTGTCCCTATAGAAAGACTGAGGACTAAATTTAAGGATTGTGTTTCTCTCATTAAAGTAGAAAAATGTCACCAGCACACCAGAGCCAAAATGCTTCTCCAAAGAGAGGCACATTGGATCTACACACTAGATGCAGTGTACCCCAAAGGCCTCAATGTCAATCTGGGACTTACCTGTTTCTTGGAGGAGAGATAAAGGGTTTTGGCAAAACCTACTGAGCCTACTGCTTCCCTTGGTATTCAGAGGGACACGGAGACAAAGACAAAAACTCATAAATCCACAGTGGGCCGCATGAGTTACTCAGACGGCAGCTCTAGGGTTATTTTTATTCTCACACACATTCATTTTCACGTTTGGTTTTCACTTATATGTCACTTATTCGCAAGACAAAAGTCTTGCGATGGTTGTAAGGTGTGTGCCCAGCCTAAGCCTGATGAAGGGGACCCTGCGAGGCCCCGAAAGCGCTTGCCAATGAGATACAGCTACTGGCAATAAAATATTTTGCTTTTTCAACTCATGGCGTGCGGGTGACATTTTTCTACTGTTCATGTGTGGCGGTGCCATCCGCAGTCATTTCGAGCACCCATCTTCATCAAGTGGGAATCCCGGTAAGGAGTGCGGTATGGTTCCTGTTTCTGTTCTCTCATTAAAGTGACACCAAACTCCGCTGATAAATCTTAAAAACACATTCCAGTCCCTGAACTCTGAAGAACAATGTCTGGCAGGAGGGTACACAGGAGTCACACACAGTCACAGATACTGCTATCAGTATATCACTCCCCTTCTTTTCCATCACTTCTGTACTGTATCATACAGTGATGAAGAAGGGGAGTGATATACTGACAGTACAGTGACACACAGCACAGTACCTGCAGGATCTCTGTCGGGCTGTGTCGTATCCTGTCCCGATTCCTGCCATGGAGCCACCTCACACCTCATGTGTCTGGACCTCGTAACCCCCTTCAGTCTCTTCACGGCCACACCTCCCTTGCTGCGCTGCGCCAGGCAGACTGCTGGGTAATGCAGTCCCCTGGCCGGCGACAGCTCTCCTGCTCCTCAGTTCGCCGCGGGCGGCGTGAGAGGGCCGCGGCCGGTCACACTTTTCTTCGGCCGCGCTGACCTCCCCCAACAGCGATCAAAGAAGCTCCCGGCTGTTGATAATACAAAGTAAATATAATGAATGTAAAGCTCCCGGCCAGCCGTTTAATTACAACGGCCAGCCGGGAAGCTACTCGTCCGTCACAGACGAGAGGACGAGTGCATTTTTCAAGCCCTGCCTATATATAACTAGGGGTGTGACAGGGGTGTGTCCATCGCCTATCTATAACTGGGGGTGTGGCAGGGGTGTGTCCATTGCCTATATATAACTGGGGGTGTGGCAGAGGTGTGTCCATTGCCTATATATAACTGGGGGCGTGGCAGAGGTGTGTCCATTACCTATATATAACTGGGGGCGTGGCAGAGGTGTGTCCATTACCTATATATAACTGGGGGCGTGGCAGAGGTGTGTCCATTACCTATATATAACTGGGGGCGTGGCAGAGGTGTGTCCATTACCTATATATAACTGGGGGCGTGGCAGAGGTGTGTCCATTACCTATATATAACTGGGGGCGTGGCAGAGGTGTGTCCATTACCTATATATAACTGGGGGCGTGGCAGAGGTGTGTCCATTACCTATATATAACTGGGGGCGTGGCAGAGGTGTGTCCATTACCTATATATAACTGGGGGCGTGGCAGAGGTGTGTCCATTACCTATATATAACTGGGGGCGTGGCAGAGGTGTGTCCATTACCTATATATAACTGGGGGCGTGGCAGAGGTGTGTCCATTACCTATATATAACTGGGGGCGTGGCAGAGGTGTGTCCATTACCTATATATAACTGGGGGCGTGGCAGAGGTGTGTCCATTGCCTATATATAGCTGGGGGCGTGGCAGAGCACGTACAGCGATAATGTCCTTACATAGGTTCTAACTCTTCCTCACTGTACTAGAAAATGTGTATTCATAACAGTCTGTGTCCCTTACTTCCTCTTCAGTCATGTGTAATCCACAGCACTCCTGACCGGAATCCCATAAGATAGATGGGTGCTGGTATGACCTGCGGATGGTGCCGCGTTATAACAGAAATGTCCAAAAGAAGTCACCCGTACTCCAAGGTCCAATGTGCTGAACGCCCCTTTTATTCAGATGTTATACAGACATGGTGGCACGGTGTAAAAGCAACGTTTCTGGACTGAACATGGTCCCTCCATCAGGCTAACACAGTGACGTTCAGTCCCACACCTACCATACAAGCAGGAAGTTAGGAGATTGTCCCTCACCTCCCATTGGTAGGGCAGCCATCAGGGGGGTACGGCCGATACTCATATAAGGGGCCCGGGCAGCCTGGGGGGGCCGCCCGAATCCCTTACATGACTATCGGCCGACGTTGAAGGGCGAGGAGGCGGAGGCCTGGCCCTAGCAGCGCATCATATGTCAGAGGAGCTAGGAAGGGAGGAAGGAAAGGAGGGGTGCAGCCCTGACCAGCCCACCTGAGACCCCTTCAGAGCCCACCACAGACAGTCTCAGATGGGCTGTGCAGCATCTATGGTGGGCTCTGCAGGGTCACTCTCAGGTGGGTCCTGCGTCCAGCGCGTCACTAAGCCCTGCGTCCAGCGCGTCACTAAGCACCGTGTCCAGCGGGGGGGAGCGGCCTAAAGCCGTGTAAGAGGTTTCTGATGGCCGCCCTGCCCATTGGATATGATGTAAGGAAGCATAGGCAGTAATAAAAAGCTGATGTAGGTCCTTTACCTTCCATGCTGCATCCAAAATTAAAATATAAGAGGAAAGTTTTAGCTGGAGTTCCTCTTTGTATTCCTTTGTGGATACCGTCATACAAGCGGACATAATGTACAGCAGTGGATAGAATTGCTTTCAACGTACGTAGAACAACAGCCATATGTAGTCAGTCAGTCACGGGCATTGGACATAGAATGAGATTACAGAATACACTGAAACAATTTGCATCTCATTAACCTTTCATTTGTTTCTGATTTCTCTCCTCAGGGGCCGGCGTTGTAATTCAATGGCTTTGTGTGACGGGTGAGTTATGGAAAAATACACAATTATAAGCTCTGTGATATTCATACCATGCTTTATAATCAGGGACACAACTATGGCCAGGTAAAAATAAATGCAAAACTGCCCTCAGGGCCGGATTTCCCACAAGGCCAACCAAGGCCCGGCCTTGGGGCAGCAGGGAGTAGAGGGGCAGCAGGGGAGTGGCATTCCTATCTCCAGATACCCGGGACATGCAGTTCCGGGCGCCGGGCGGGTAGTTGTTTTCTACATTTAGCCCGGCTTTGGGCAAGCAGGGCTAAAAGTACAGCGGGGGAAGCCGCCGCTTGTTTTGTACAAGTGATCCCGGAAATGTCGCCGAGATCACTTGTATGCAGCCTGCAGGTACATTCTCCATGGGGGAGGGGTTGACGGGTTGGGGTGCGCATTGAGAAACCTGGCCTTGGGGCAGCAGGGAGACTAAATCCGGCCCTGACTGCCCCCCCCCCCCC